ATTCCCTGCTGAGGCTTTAATGCATGCTGCCAGCAAGAACAAATTCCCGCCTTGTGTCTATACTAGCACACAAAACACCCAGAAAGTCCCAGCTGCAGACAACAAACATTCCTATTGCCTTTTAATCATATTCTGCAGTCTAAAGATACAAACAGCTTCCTGTCCAACTAATGTGCAACTAATGTGCAAAAGGAAAAATAAGAGATGTTGCCCATTACCTGCCTTGCAGCATTCCCCTGTGTTGGAAGGAAAGCTGCATGTTCTGTATTCAGAGCTTGCTCTCTGCTTCACCACCCTAGGACTACTTAGCGATCGACTTGTTCTGAACTAATGGCTTATTAAAATCCATTGTCCCATTAGATTTTACTTTTCCCTTTTGAACACCAGCCTGTCACTGTTCAGGCTGTCTACTGTACATGAGCTTCCTGTACCTTGTACAGGACTTCAGCCTGACGCTACCCACTTAGCAGAAGTTCAGCACACAGCCAGTAGAGCAGAGCAGCAGAAGTGGCTGGAGAAAGGCTGTATTCCCAATGGCACGCATAGCGTAAGACTTGTAAAGAAAGAGAGCATGGATTACCAAGTATAGCATCCTTGGCTTGTTCCAGGAATCAGACCAGTTTGCAAGCAGTGGCTGAGCATGGTGCAGCCTGTCAAAGCCTAATGTGGGAAACCCTGCCCAAGTCTCTTGGGCAGCAGCACCCCCACTCCAAAAGGTCAATGCATGAAGTCAGAATTAAACTATACAAATGCCCAGATGTTAGAGGTTCTAGTATGCATTGGTCACTGTAGCCATGTTTTCCAGACAGGTGGATGCTTATCCAGTGGAGGGGGCAGATGCAGTTACAGTGACAAAAACTGTCAAGAGAGTGTATTCTAAGATTTGGTCTACCAGTCATACTCCAGAGTGACCGAGGCAGGCACTTCACCAGGAGGGTGATGACCTAGGCCAGTGATGGTGAACCTTTTAGAGACCGAGTGCCCAAACTGCAACCCAAAACCCACTTATGTATGGCAAAGTGCCAACACTGCAATCAAACCTGAAAACTGAAGTTTTAGTTTAGAAAAAAACAACTCACAGTCAGTCCAAGGCAGCACACTGACCAGTCATGCCAAAGCTCAGACGAGTCATGGCTAATGAGTCGTGGCCTGTGACATCATTGCCTGGTACCACTACTCCTTTACGAGCATGCGCATGGCTCCTATGTGCACTGTTATCCGATGCTCGGCCGCTGGGGCGATGCTGGGCAACTTGGCGTGCTCTGCGGCACACGTGCCATAAGTTCGCCACCACTGCCCTAGGTCATGAGGCACAAGAAGTTAACGTTACCATTCCCTCTAGCACCCACAGTCCGCCTGTCTACTTGAGAGGTACAATGACAATTTGAAAAATAAGATTGCAAAATTTTGTGAAGAAATGGGCATCAAATGGACTGAGGTTCTTCCAATAGCACTTAATGGTATGAAAGCAGTAGCAGGTTCACTAGGACTATCCCTCCATGAGATCCTAACAGATAGACCCATGAAAATACCTGTTCCTCCACCACCAGCAAAAGAAAGCCTGAAATTAGTAGATGAGCTGGTCAGAGACTATTAGTCAACTAACAAACTCAGTGCAAGAACTCTTTACCACACAAATGGGCAGGCACATAAGAAACTTGGGGAGATCCCACAGAAGAAATGAGATAGCATCAAAGTGGGATCGGATAATGACACCAGCTGCTGAAGACTTGTTAGGATCCTAACACCAAGAATTGGGATAGAGCAGTGCACCAAAGAAATAATACACCTCAAAGAAAACTTGTTCAACATGAGTATGGTCCTAGAGAAGAGTGATGATGCCACAGTTGTAGTCAAAGAAACAGCTGAGCTATCATAAACAGAAAAGTATTAGATGTGTTCACAACAACACGGGGAGGAGTCTGTCCTCTGATAAACCAAGCCTGTTGCATGTACATAGACTGCACTGGACAAATCATGACCCGTGTACAAGTTCTTAGAGACCAAGTGGAAAGATCACAGCACTTGAGAGGTAAACCCAACACACAGGTGAGGTCTAACTGGTTAGGAAATTTCTCTCCTGACAGGTCTGGCACAATCCATTTCCTGCTTAAAAGCCTAGTCTTGATTGCAGCTGTTGATATACAGAACTGTTACTTCTATATATTTTAGTGCAGAGATTACCACTGTGTTTTAAAAGAAACCAGAACAAGCAAATGACTGTAACAGAGCTCAGGAGCCTTGTTCACGCTGAGACACCAGAAAAAAAGCATGCTTATGGAAGAAGCAGAAAGGTTTCTGAGCACAGAAGAAAATTGATTGTAGGTGATGCTGATCATGTCTACAAAGTGGGGAATGTCATGACCTGGTCAAGAGGTGCCATCTTAGAAAGGGTGAAGGTTGGGGCAGGTAGGGCATCTCTTACCATGAAAAGGAGTTCAGAAAATAAGTCAGCCCCTAGACAAAGCCAACCTCATCCTATGGAAATTGCCTGTAAGCAGTCTCCATATCTCGTCTTCAGGGAATAACCAAACCACAAATGATCCAGGAAGGCTTAAGAGGTATATGCATACTTCCAAGTGCATATCACATTATCACATGCTCTCTATATAGTTAGAACTTCTGAAACTAGATGGACCATTTCCACCCAAGTCCAAGTGGTCTTTCCATTGCAGTATACCCTTCTCCTAAATTGTGTTGCACCTGAGGGTGTCTCTAAGTAACTGAAGGCCACGATAGGATATAAGTGATTGTGGCCATGCGTTATGGTGTCAGTCAACTCATGGAGGTTCTGTGGGGTGAGGACAATTTGGTCTTCCACTTCAACAATGCTCTGTATGACATGTGCATTTATTTTGAAGAATTATGCAACACCTTGTAATGGAAATATGCTTACAACAGACTACAGTAATACTGTAAAAACCACAGACATACTAGTAGTTTTTTAACCTCTGGCCCAAGGAAGGGCTCAAAATGTGCTTTGCTTCCACAGTCCCAAGGTAACTGGCAGTTGGAGTGAAGTGTTCATCCTGACCAGGAGAAAGCAAGCAAACTCCCTATAGTCAGTGGTTGGAGCAGACTGGTCTTCTCTCTTCATAATGTTCTTCCAGGGAGGAAGGGAGGGCAGCCTTCCAGTGCCCCTTCATCTCCTGGCCAGAGCATGCCTATTTTCAACATAATACTCTGTTTCATGCATTCATACATACTACATAATGTATCACAGAACCTCAGGTACAACAATTAAACAATAAAACCTCAAGTACAACAATTAAACAAAAGCAAAAGTAGCTGAGTTGGCCAAAAGAAAACTTCTCCAAAAAGTGGTAAAATCATATTAAGATTACAGCTTTACTAGTTTAACTAAAACTGCAAGAGCTACTCAATGCTGACTTCATAGTAACTACAGACACTTTTTTCATTCTCCCACTCTTCCATTTTGCTTTGTTGACCATCTTGTGTGGTGAAGCTTTTGAAAAACTTGAAAGCTTGCCCAGTGTTTTATGGTTTTTAAGGTTGCCTAATATATGTAGTATGCTGATACAGATTTTAAGATTTTTCCATTGGAATAATGGAATTATACCTGGTCCATAACAAATGTATGGTTTGCATTGTTTCTGCACTGGCTGTTATGACTCATGAAGCCTGCCTTGTGAAGTCTCTGGACTACATGGTGAGTTTCAAGACTAGTGATACAGACCTTAAGAACATCTGGCCAAAATTTCTGAGCAGTTTGGAGTCCAAAATTGAAAGACACAAAATCTTAAATCTTTAACACACACATTTTTAAAAACAGTTTAAAAGAGTAGAATGGAAGATACAATAAAACACCTTTACCTCATAAACACAATAATTTAAAACCTCAATATAAGCTATCAAATGAGAGTAAAGTCTTGACCTGGTATCCAAAATGGCAATACTGGTACCAAGTAGACATCCGTGGGGAGAACATTTCCTAACTAGGACCACCACCAACAGGTCCTCATTCTTGTTGCCATCCTCTGAACCTTGCTCAGAAAAGGCTCTTGGAGGGGCTCATGTGTTGATTCTGGAATACAGGTGTGTCCCTGTCAGGTGAAGAACTTTGTCAGATACTGTGGTCTCAAGTCATGTAAGGCTTTATGGGTTAAAACCAGCATCTTGAATTGGTCTCAGAAACTTCCAGGCAGCCAGTGTTAATGGACCAGAATTGGAGTTATATTGATCTGGGTGAGAAATCTCTTAAAAGGAATGGCAAATTTTGCAAGAGTTGGTGAGAGAAAGACTCACAGTTTGCCATATGAAGGCAGTTTGTCAAAGTGATACTAACCATCAAGGAATCAAATATTTCTACTCTAACCACATCATCTTGGAGTCTGATCAAGCCTGCTTCCTGAAGATGTAAGCTACATGGGATGCTTGATGGAGAGATAGTGTAGTGTCAACTTTTGAGTATACATGGGGCTTGAAGGAGAACTGCCAATGTGTATTTTTCCAGGTGAGAGATGGTGATGTGACTGCGGGCAGAGACCTAGGTAGGAGCTGGAGGGAGGCTGCCACAAATGAGAATTGTGTCCTCCAATCAATGTTTGTAAGCTAACTGTGGAAAACTCCATGTTGTCTCTGTGGAATGGAGATTTACTTATCCTCGCAGGGGATCGTTTAAAACTTATTCTCTCTCTTGTTGAATATAATTTGCTAAATTTGATAAGATAATTTGTACAGTTCGATCTGATAACTGTATTGTGATACATATTTGTCTCAGAAGCCTTTGCATCTTGCAAGACTCCCGCACCAACATTTCAAATTGACTGCCTTGCAAATATTTGTCCCAGAGAGCCAGACAGCTACAGGTGTGGGATACAGATGCAACAAATAAAATAAATAAATATTTATCTTACATAGTTAATGGTTTTCTACATCTCTCTCATAAATTGTTGCAGTCTTCTATGCTATATTTTATAAAGAAACAAATGAATTATTAAGCATATTTCTGTAGTAAATCTGAAATTTGTTTCTTACAGAGGCATTCTAGCAGAAGCATTAATACCATGACTTTTCACTGGCCTAGGAGCCTGATATGGGAAAGGTGAAATATTTCTAGCTGAGCTCAGAAAAGGCCAACAGGTATTTCAGATATGGAAGCTGAAGATAAAGATAACTGCTTGCTCAACTACTGTTCGCATGTGTTCAACTTACGACACAAATAAGTGGACATGAAAAATCCTAAGTAAACAGGACCTAGAAAAGAGAAACAGATGTTATCCTGTTTTGAAGGGAAGTGTGTCTCAGCATTACTGACAAGATATGAAGTAAACATATTGCTCTCCAAATCATTGCTGGAAATTTTGAAGAAAAAGTAAGAACTTTTTATTATGAACCGAATCACATAACTGGGCTAATAAGGAATCAGATAAATATGAGAGCCAGAGCACACGGACTTGAAAAGCAAACATCAGTTCTCATCACATGGTTCATCTATCCTCAGAAGGTCAAGAGCTGTCGTCCTCATCATGATCCTTTTTGCTCCCAGCTCAGAAATGCCTTTGGGTAAGAAACTTTCTTCTTTAGAGGTAATGCTTCTATGAACTAAACTTAGGACACTTTAGAATATACTTTGTTTGCAACCACATTGTATTTTGATGTTTTGATATCTAATATGAAAGCTGATGATGATTTTGAAGCAAAAGAGGAAAGGACAGGTTTGATCCTTACATCTCCTGTTTACAAACGCTGTGTATTAATACCAGTGATTGTATACATTTATTATTTCTTTGATGGAACTTTGTTCATGGAATATTGCATGGAATATGTTACTGGCTGATCCATGATCAAGCGAAATACAGAAATCCCAAATACCTAGTCAAGGACACATCTGTCACAGTTTTGATATTTTTATGTGCATTTATCTACTAATAGTATTGCTGTTTACAAATGCTCCTACTCTACGCTTTGAACACTGCCGTAACCTTTAGTGCTGTTCATTTGGTGTGATGTGAACTATATTTATTACTATTCATTCATCACGTTTGAGCTACACAGGGCACAATTTTATGGAAAAGCAGGATACATTATAAAAAAAGATAATGATATGATAATGGATAGACAGCACCTCACATAGCTGAATATGTTGTCTTGAAAGCAGATGTAGAAATGCTTAGAGAGGATCCACTGGAATGGGACGACCTATTTATTTATTTATTTATTTATTTATTTATGTATTTATGTATTTTTGCATTTATATGCTACTGCCTACTCCCAGTGGAGTCACTCTTACTGCACATTGATGGTCCCGTTGATTTAGAATAACTAAGGGTGTAATCCCATGAGCACCAGTTAGAAGCTAAATGGCCACAGGAACATTTGGAACTGCATCTTGGAAGGAGCTCGCAAACAAGCCCCTCTGATTCACTCTCGCAGCCCTCTCAGATTGCATGGTGCCCACTGCAGCTCTAAGGTCAGAAGACCAACCTCAAAGCCATAAGTGGGAAAGGCATTCTGGAGGGGGGGAGGGGCAGGGAATGGAGACACAAGACTCTGCTGGGAGACCATGTACACTCGGAGCATTTCAGATGTTCTCCTTGCAAACAAGCACCAAAGATTTAGATGGCCCAAACTGGCTAAGACTTTACAAGATGGGAGAAGTGCAGAGCTGACCTTCACTTCTGCCTTCCTTCCATCTTCTGAGCATCCTCTGAGTTCAGGAGGCAGTCACACATGGTCACCTGGAGGTCTGCATCTAATGGCACTACCTCCCTAGCCCACTGCCCTCAGATGCCACACTTGGTATCATTTTTTAAAAATAATTTTAGGGCAGGTTCACTTGTTCAAGTGAAGCCCATAACATGGCAAATCAGCACATCAGACTTATCAGCACTTCCTTTCTTGAGTAATTGCCTGAGGTGACAAGAAACATTGTTCATCTTGTGATAGGATGGAGGTTTTGTGTGTTAAAATTACCAGCCACTGGCAGTAATTGTCATATGAATAGAACTATTTAACCTATGAATATATGCTAATTATTCTTTAGTGTGTCTCTCTTGTTGACAGAATTGGCATAGTTAAACAATAATAGTTAAACCATAAAGATCTTCCTTTTTATTCTTGTAGCATAGGGCAATTCTTTTATGTTAATCCATCTATAATTCATAACTAATTTGGTAAGTCCTTGGAATCACTAAAGTGGATTAAAATTTTAAAAAAGCTTTATCCTTTCAAACTCATTGGGAAAAAATGGGGATATGCTTTTCTTTTACTGGCTTTTGAGTACTCTGACAGAACATGAAAATCATGTTACCACAAAAGGACTTAATCTGCATTGTTATCTTATGATTGTCCCTTTAGACTCAGGCCAATTGACTTAAGTAGTGTGGAAATCTGAGATTCCCACCTGCTTTTTACAGACCCAGGAGCATACCTGTTTCCTCCAGTGACACATTCTAGGTGACTTGCCATAACATACCCAGAAAAATACCAGATGGATTAACTGTGCTAAGCTGTTGCAGCAAAACAATGAAGAATAATGTGGCACTTTAAATACTAGCAAAATATGTCAGTACATAAGTGTTTGTGGGCCCAGGCTACTATGATGGATGAAAGAATGATAACAGTGAATAACTATATATAGAGTGGGCTGCATCCAAACATTCTCATACTTAGAGGAGATCCAGTGAAATTAATTGGACCAGTGATTGACTGAAGCCCCATTGATTTCAATGGTTCTACTCTGAGCATAACCAAGTCAAGATCTAAGCCAGTGACTACAATGAAGAAAGGGGGGGGGTTTGTTTTGTTTTTGGGGTTTATTTTGTTTATAAGTGGAGAAAGGCCAATGAACACCAAATACTACTACACAAAAGAAAAACCAGCCAAAAAAGCTAAACCTGGATGCAGAGTTTCTTTCAGCTGGGGGGCCAAATTCCATTCCAGAGAAACTTTCAAGGGTTGCATTCCATACTAGGGGAGCCTGAAGGCAAAGGGGACAGGAATTAGCATATTTTAGCTTAAAGGTTTTACTGTCAATAGCAACTTTTTAGGAGAGGAATTCAATCTTTTAGAATGCCCAAAAGCCAGGAAGCCACCAGTTGCCAAGGCCTGCTGGTTATTATTCCAGTGGGCGTTGCTGTGTGCCATCCAACAGTGTGGTCCATCACACTCAAAATAACAAGGGAGTTGTGAGTGGTTAGAGACATGCATCTTTATTCTGGATCCTTTTTGAGTGATCTCAAGATAGGTATGATATGGATCCTAAACCCCGCTGGACTGTGAGATGGTCCCAGATCATCTCCTTCCAGACTTAACCTGGTCCTGAATGCAGATGAGTGACAAACAGAGAGGAATACCCTTCTATCTGGGTGCATTTCATTGAAATACAGGGTAAATTTTCCAGTTGGTATCCAAAATAGAGTCTATGTGTTCAGAGCCAGACTTTGATTCAAGCTTAAGACAGGATAATTGGGGAGCCAATCGTTCACAGGAAACTCAAGGCCTGCGAATTTGGCTTTGCCTGGTCTCCCATCTGATTTCTCCCAGAGGAGAATAAGATTCTCTTTCAGCCCAGCTGCAAGGTAAGGTTGCAAGTGAAACCTCTTATTCACACCTGAGAGATTATCTATGGAAACTGAACAAGTGTGGGCTGTACAAGGGAGGGGGTTTGGAGGACTGTCACCCAAGCTGAGATGCCCTTTCTGATATAGTATATGCAGATGGTTTAGAAAGTAAGGCATGGGGTTTGGTACTGCACTCATTCAAGTCTTATAATTCTTGGTCCTCCAATGGGAAGCCCACAAGCAGGACATGAGTGCAATGCCTCACTCCTGTTCCCCAGGAATTGGTACCGAGAAGCATATTGCTTCTGATGGAGGCAATTTCCAGCCATCATGACTAGTAGCCACTGATTGTCTTATCCTACATAAATGTATCAAATCTGAACTTCATTAGGTTTAGGGTTGAACCGTTAGACCATGTACTACTGTTTTGCTCTTTCTATAGAGATGCACAAAAAGAGTTTATTTGTTGCTTGCTAGTTAAGAAGTCAAGTCATTAATCTGACTTCTACGTATCACCAGGATAAACAGGTGATAAACAGGTCAGCTAAATTTTTAGCAGCAGCAATTACAATCAGGTCAAATGTGATTGTAAAATTGTAGTTTTTACATATTTACTTGTTTAAATTTTGGCATTGCAATGTATAAATATATCTGATATATATGTGTTATTTATAGTATACTGATTTTATGTTTTCTTATATTTATGCAAAGGCATATGGCTAATGCAAATAAAGGAAACGTTGCTAGTGTTCAGGGTTAATAGATGCTTCCTTCTGTCTGTCCTGATCTCTCCCCATTCAGCTGTATTTTTCCCAAGAGAATGAGAAAATATCTTTCTATCCACTTCCACCACACTTGCAGCTTTGTTAGTGAAGTGGCTACATCCATATTCTCTCTGTTAAGGGTTTCTGGAGATATCACACAGAACTGTATTTTCATGTTCTAGTTTTTTCCTTTTCATACTTAGATGATTGGAACGTTTCATCATTGAAGCTTATGGAGAGCGAAGACTGTATAAACCTGAACCAGATCTCCTGATTTTGAATTCTGATATCTGATTTCACAGAAAGCATACATGGGTGCTTTGTCATCTCTTCTAATTTTGGGATGCATGGTCTTTCTATTGACACTGCTGAATGCTGAATTCTGGACTTTGCCACAAATGTACAGGTTAGTCTAGTGTGATAATTCAGATCAGCATCTGATTAGACCATTTAATGATAGCCATGAATTCTGACAGAAGAGAAGCTGCCATGTGTTCATTTCAGTTACCTTATTCTTCTCCCTACCCTCGGTATGAAGTACCGTATTTTTCACTCTATAAGACGCACCTGACCATAAGACGCACCTAGTTTTTAGAGGAGGAAAACAAGAAAAAAAATATTCTGACTCAAATGGGCACATAATCACAGGCACATTCCCCACCACTTCCCCATGGGCTGCACATCTGACAGACTTACTGCACACACATATTCGCTCTGTAAGACGCACAGACATTTCCCCTTACTTTTGAGGGGGGGAAAAGTGCATCTTATAGAACAAAAAAATACAGTAATTTATACTTCATGTTTATCTGAACACCTGCTGGCAAAAAGATTTTAAAACTGAATATCTGTATATTCTGGCAAATCTTCAGGTTAGTTAACATGTTTACCCAGTTTGCACAACTCACAGATTGCTGAGTCATTTACCCAGTGAGATCATGTGGCAAAACAAAACAACAAACAAACAGAAACCCAACCATGCTGCCTCACCATTTCCTGAGTTAAACAACCCAGGACCTGGCCTGTGAACTAGTCCCTTGGCATTTGCACAGGACTCCTTTTACGCTAGTTCTTTACATTTTCCTTTCATTGCATGGAGAATTTCACATTTTCAAGTCAAACAGCATCCTCACCGAAGATGTGTTTTTACAAGGTTGGCAGACTAATTGCAGATTAGATGGATATTGGGAGATTAGCGGGTAGATTAGAGGATGAGATTTTTTTGTTTGTTTTGTCCTTTTCACAGAATACTACAATCTTAGATCATCCAGTGAAGAGGAATGTTGGGAGATTCAGGAGAAACAAAAGGAAGCACTATTGACTTTGCTTCTTCAACATGTGGTGAAGGATGCCAGTTTAGATGGTTTTAAATGTGGATTAGATAAATTAATGGTAGATGAGACTACTGATGGCTGCAGAGCATAATGGCTATATGTCAGGAGTCTAAATCACCTGGTAGATCTTCAGGTAATTTGCAGAACCTCAGCAAGGGTTTTCATCTTCCAACAGTTTAACAATAGCAATAATATAAAGCTTTTATTCCCCTTCTAAATTAGGCTGCTGAATTCAAAAAAGCCTGGGGCAAGACAGGAGTAGATTTTTGTATGAAAGAGCTGGTTTTCAAGTTCCAGTTCTAGTAGTGGAATGAATTTCTGCACTGAATATATGCTTCAGGTCTCCTTGTTCCGCAATTCTATGTATGCCTTCCTGTGCCGTTATTTTCCACCTGGCTCTCATTGGTGAAGCTGAGGCATCTAGTGAAAAACAAATTAGATCCCAACAATCTAAAGTTTGCTCACTTGTACCTTCTATACATATGAAAGCTCCAGGATCAGAAGTACTGTTGATCTCAACACTAGATGCTTGGAATTCAGGATGCTGGACTTAAATCAGAATTATTCTGGTCCAAAAGGTTTCCCTTTATAGTCTTATGAGATCAGTGAGTATGTCAACCATCTATAAAACGTGTGTTTCTCATTCTTTTTCTACTTTTTAAAGCAGGTATTCAATGCTAGATCCTTTTTAACAGAATGACAGAAAAAGCTTGACAAAGCACACAAGGCTCTTGAATCTATTTGATAAATGTGCCTCTTTATCTGAATGTTATGTTTCTCTCTCTCTCTCTCCTTCCCATGTATGTGCGTAAAATTTCTATTCTGCCCATTAGCCAAAACAGCTCTCTGGACAGGTTACAAAATATAGTAATATATTAACAAATGTTCAAATTATCCAGCTTTATGTTAGTAGTCCATATTGCCATTTCAGTTCCTAATAATACTAATAATAGTGAGATTCATTTGCTACTTGCAGCTTCCTCACAGTAGTATGGAGGTTAGAGTCAAAGGGATTCTGTTGGTTAGCAAATGCTACTGTGAGTTCTTTTTCTCACCTGAGTATTCTTCAGATAACAGCATCAACTGTAGATGACCTTTATAAAGATATATTCCTCTGGCACCATCCATCTATTTTCATAATTATGTCGCTGGTGCTCAAATGTTTTATTGTATGTGTAATCGTTTAACTTCTTATTTTTGTGAAGAGTTTGGGAAGCACTAATAGTCTAATTATTATTTGGTTGATAGTGATCACTAGACTAATAACTCATAGAAGTGGAAAATGTTTCAGATCCTAAAGAACGTGATTGAAATATGCAGCTTAGAATAAATGTTCATGTGTTATTGTGATGAACTTTACCTCCTCTGTCGCAGCAACTGCTCTGAACGAAGGACTTGCTCATATTGTCACAGCCTTAAGTTACCGAGATACCTAGGAAAGAAGTAAGCAGTTCATGATCAACCCACCAAGCACTGATTAGTCATTTTCATTTCTCTCCCTGGGAGCAGCCTCTGAAGGAAAAAGCCTCAGCCCCCAGCCAGCTGGCAAACTGGGAAGGCAAGCGCAAGCCTTGAGCTCAGGAGTGGGTGTCATTCCCTCTCCTCCACAAATCCGTTTGCTGAGTTACTTTAGTTATTCATAGATTTTAGTTGTGTTTGTTTTAATCTTAATGCCAGAGAGTATTTCTGAACTTTTCTCAGCTTGGCTCTTTGATCGATGTAGAGCGGAGTTGATTTGATCCTCTTGCCTAGTCTGAGGGTTGGCTTCTACCATGTACCACTCTGCTGGGTTATTCATAATTTAACAACCTGGTTATTAAAGAGTTTAAAGGAGGCTATGGAAAGGAGGATCAATCTTCTCCTCCCATTTTTTGGGAAACAAAATGCCCATCCTTCTGCTATCTATTTATAATCAAGTATATATATTTTTTCCTATCTGGCCTTTTCAGAGGGAAAAAGATAACAATTCTCATGAGGGGTTGAGGGGGACAATCCTATGCATTCAAGGGACCATAGGACACTACCAATCTTCATGGTCAGAGATGGTGTTTTGAGCTTGGAGAGAAAAATCCACCATCTGGCCCACTCCTCTTTGCAACCACTGAAGAGCTGCACTGGCTGTCTGAGATCAGGGGTGCAACCTTGGAGAGGCATAAAAGGTTGTGCTTTGGTGGATGGGAAGAGGAAAAAACAGGAATGGCCTGGATATGAGCTGATCTGGGGCTTCTCTGATTCCCCCCCCACACACACACACACAAATGCTTTCACTAGATGGATGAACTAGTAAAAATGCATGGTGGGAGAACAAGGTAGTGGAGATTCTCACTCCTCCTGTCCTGCATGGGCTGGCTGTAAGCTTTCAAATGTGGGGCCTGCAGTCCTTGAGGGTGTAACTCATAGGATTGCACCCTAAAAGATGCATATTCTTGAGCAGAGCATGAATTGCATAATGCATCTAGAAGAAGTGCTACCACTTCATATTGTTTTTGTCAAACTTTTCTTTAACACATAGAAATGTGGGAAATTTACATTCTTCCAAAAGATCATTAGCCTCTTTCCTCCCATTTAAACACCTTACTTAAATGATTCCTTTCATTAATTAATTACACATTAATGAACTCCCCAGTGTACTTTGGCTATGTGGTGGTATAGAAATGAAATAGATAATCATAATAATTTCTTCATTCTATATCAAAGATGTTTTATTATTATCCTCAAGTCTTCTCTGACTTACAGTGACCCTATGAATGAAAGCCCTCCAAAATATCCCATCCATGACAGTCCTGCTCAACTCTTCTATATTTAAGGCTGTGGGCTTCTTCATGGAGTCAATCCAGCTCACATTCGGTCTTCATCTACCTTCAATTTTCTCCAGGGAGTTTTGCCTTCTTATGATGTGCCTGAAGTTTTATCATTTTTGTCATTATTTGTAATAACCAATGCCCTCTGGGCGATGTACAAATATTCATAAAATACAAACAAAACAAAAACCCAGTTAACAAGATTTAAAACTGAAACTTCATAGATTCATTCAGCTGTTAGAATAGCTTACAACAACCCACAGGTACTATTTAGAGCTGTTCAACTCCTTGGCACAGGAGTTGAGTCATTTTAACATGGTGATGGAAGGATAGTAAAGTTGGTGCCAGACAGGCCTCAGGGAGGAGATCATTCCGTAATGAGGAGGCTATTCCTTGTTGCCACCAACCAAGCTGCCCTTGAAGGCCGCACTTGAAGAAAAGCCTCACATTTTGGGCATTGTGTCTGGATAGATTGTGGTTGGGAGAGGCATTCCATCAAGCACTGTGGAGGAAAGCCATGTAGGGTTTTATAGGTTAAAGTCAGCACCCTGAAGTGGGCTTAGAAGCAGTATAAGCAATCAGTGCAAGCTGGCCAGAACTGGTGTTAAATGTTGAGACTTTTTGGTCCTACTGCTGCACAGATGGTTCAAACTCAATGTTAACTATTGTTTGAGAGTTATATTTATATGTCTCTCTTCCTAAGAACTCAGTAAAACATTTTTAGCCTCACAAAAATATTGTGATGTAGGTTAGAGTAAGAGATAGTGGAGAATCTGCTAGCCCTCATGATGGAGCAGGGATGAACCTGGGTTTCTTATGCATGTGCAAATTTGTTGCTGATGCCTCCAATAAGCAGGTTTCCACGTCCCAAATTGACTCAATTCACATACAGTCTGCAAAGTGATCTGATACAAGAAAAAATCTGGTTCACCCTACCTAATGGCCCCCACAGCAAGTGGGAGTGGCAAAACAAATCACAGAGCTTGAATTCATGATTTAAAACATACATTGAGCCAGGCTGGATCAAACCAATGATCCATCTAGGCCAGCGTTCTGTTCACACAGTGGCAAGCCACTTGTCCACAGGGTCCCACAATCAGGATATGAGTGTAACGACACCCTCATGCTCAAATTCCCCAGCAACTGGTGGACAGAAGCACACTGCCTCTGATGCAGAGGTAGCACACAGCTGTTGGGACTAGAAGCTGGTAATAGCCTTCTAGTCCATGAATTTGTCCAGGCTCCCTTTAAAGCCATCTAAATTGGTGTCCATCACTACCAGTTTAAGTATATGCTGTGTGTGTTGCATGACCGGTGAACCTAGATCCTTAGCTTGTTCT